TTTTTTTTTTTTTTTTTTTTTTGGGAAGAAGATTGTTGTCTCTCTCTCTCTCTCTCTCTCTCTCTCTCTCTCTCTCTTTCTCTCTCTTGTTGGTGTGTGGAGTTAGTAAATAGTGTGTGGAGTTAATCTTGCCCTTGTTTTTTTTCGTTTATTTTCCCTCTTTCCCTCTAGCACCAACCTGTTCCCCACCCGTCCCACACCAGTCACACTGTTCCACACACCTGGCTAGTGGGATCACCCTCCTGGATTCGGAAGTTCCGCCTTTGGAATGGTTACCTTTCACCTGAACATCGACATTTTTTTTACAAGGGACAGAGATCATCGGCGGTTTTTTTTTTTTGCCTCCGAGTTCTGAGTTTTTTTCGTTGTTCTTTGGTTGTTTCTTTTTGCGTTTCATGTCCTCTTGTGTTTTCCCTTTGATGTCCACGTGTTCTGCACTTTTGCGTTCATCGTTTTTTCTTGTTTCATAGCATTTCTTTGCCGCTCTGACGCCGACTTCGATCTCTGTTGCGAGTTGGCAACATTCTAAGAGGGTTCCGACATCGTTTTTTTTCGCCGTTAGCGACTTTCATCATGTCGCAGGACCGAGGGAAGGATCCGGAAGACTTGCTCACAACCGCCCGACAAGGGCATAACACGAAGACGTTTGACTCGCCGTTCAAGGTCGACCCGGAAATCGACGGCAAGAGGGACGACTCGGTGTGGCATTTCGTAGCCAGAGGGCGTTATTTGGATGGGTCGACGGCGGCGGGTAGGAAGAGCGATCGTCGATGCCTGTGCAGGTTGTGCGGGCGTTCGGTTTGTGGGGGTGCTAAAACCGCCAAGGAACACTTCTCGAAGAGCGAGAAGTTCCGATGTGAGGCAGCCACTCCTGCTGTGTGGAATGCGATCTGGTCGAAGGACATGACAAAATGTCCGAAGGAGTTCGCGTCTGCCTTAGAAACATTGCAAAGCTTATTGCCAGACCATCCGAGCTTACAGTGGCCACCTCTTCCATTCCCCGAGGATGCAGTGCCGCCGCTGGTTCCTCCCACCACCCCTTCAGGACCGGTCGCATCGCCGAATTCTGGGGCTCCGGCCATTCGAGTCACGGTAGCGCGTCCTGCAACAACAGTTGCAACACGACTGACAACCCCGCCGTCTGCATTGCTGGCTGGGACACGAGGTGCTCGCGATGTGGGAGTTGGTCGTTCTACGCCAACCAACGAGCTCCCGCTTGTGAGGGATGGTGTGGGCTCTGCGGCATTTGACGAGAAGAGCACACGTGTTTTTATTGAGAGTCGCAGGTGGGGGGGGAGTGTCGGCAGTTCAAGCGTGTTCGCCCATGTTCAGGAGTGCTAGACAGCCAGATGCCGCATGGGGTGGTACTACGGTGGCGCCTGGCGTATCGCCCCGCGGTTCGTCGGAGCACCCCTGGCTGCCACCGCCACCGTCGCAAGCGGCGCAACGTCCAGTGGTCCACCACGCTCACGGAACCGCCCACCCGGATCCGTCACACACACCTGCAGATGCTCGACAATCTGCCTCCGTGCCTCGTTTCGGGGAACGGGCGGATCATGGGGTGCCTGCTGAGGAGGTCCCCGCTCCGGTGTTCGATTCATTGCCAACCCCGATTCCGACAACGACGGGTGGTGGTCGGTCTGCCGCACAGCCTCCACCCGTGTTGACCGGATCGTTAGACCCTTTGCAGCGCATTCACGACCTTGCAGTCGCCCAGAGCGTGGCACGTGTTAGTCCTGGCGGGTTGTTGGATGCCGGGGTCCTCGGCGGGAGAGCCACGACGGGTCGATGCCGAGGCACTTATAGGCAGCAGGCTGTCACATCATATTATTCGGACCCTTTGGAGCGCGCGTTGTCAGGCGGCCACAAGCAGTGCGCCGCCTAAAATCTACGGTTTTGGGGCTTAGGCGCGAAGACGAGTCTGAGTTTTGATGGTACTCTGGTTAGACCAGGCAACGGAAATTAGGGGAGCTCAGGGCGCCCTTGATTTTGGGCGCCCTGAACCTTACGAGTAACCTTCAAAGATGACAAGATGGGTGATTGCGCTCGGCACATCAATGGACCGTCTTTTCCGGCCGTTTAGAGGGGTAGACCCGGATTGGCCTGCCACGGAGAGGTATCGCGGGAACTGACCTCGCAGCCACCTTTTTGGCAGCATACGACCAGGGCCGAAATGAGGCCTCAATTTTTTGTCTATTTTAGTACCATAATTAAAGATGGGGAAGAGGGATTACGACCAGTAGGGGAGAAGGAAAAAACATAATATCCCTTAATTTCTTTATTTTTTACGGCATTTAATTCGAGGGGGAATACCCTTGTTATTTTATGTTCCCGGCAATGAAATTAAAAACATAAAAAAAAAGATTAAAAATTGTAGAAGAGAAAAAAAACAAAAGGAATTCGGCCATTTATTTAAACTTTTTCGGAATTTTATTTTGGAGATCTTACGGTTAATTTACTATTTCCAACAATAGAATGAAGGGAAGGGAAGAATGATGAAAAATAATAAAAGGGACGAGAACCCATGATTATTAGGAGGTTGGCCTAATTTCGCCTCGATTACCCGCCGTTAGCTCTGACCCCGGATTGAACATTTTCCCCGGATTTTCACAGTGTTCAATACTGCCGATGACCGAGGTTCCCTGCGTCACTTTCGCTGGTTTGCTTGATTACTAACACTACTGTTGTTGGGACGTCTTGAGAGCGGGAGACGCATGGGCAGGTGCTACCTTGGGTCGACCATGGTGTTTGGTTCGGTACGGATATGAGGCTTGTTACGGAGTGGCTACGTCCTACGGTGTCTGACGTGCTTCAGGTACGGTATCGGCTTGGTGACACCTGTTTCACTACGGTGACTTATTTCCAGGTTTGGGACCTTGGCGGCAGTTTGTTTTCAAGTCCGGAGACGTTGCGGTGTCCTATATTAGGTTCGGGACAGGGACGAAATTATCATGGCATGGTTGTACGGGTTCGGCGTCCGCGTGGCACAGCAGCCCGGTATTGGATTTCGGGTTTGATCAGGATTGGTGGCATCGCGTTGTTTCGTTTCAGGTTCGGCGCCCTCACGGCGATCTATTTCAGGTTCGGGACCTCTGTGGTGATTTATTCTCAGGTCTGGAMGCACTATGACGATCTATTTCAGGTTCGGGACCTCTGTGGTGATTAATTCTCAGGTCCGGGAGCACTGTGACGATCTATTTCAGGTTCGGGACCTCTGTGGTGATT